CCCATTCAACACCCTCATGTGCCAGCCAATAACTTTGAGGTGAGCACCTCTATCACCACCATATTGCGCGGTTCGGTGGTGTTCCGAGGCAAAGAGGGGGAGTGCCCCTGATCACATATGAGGCGATTCCACGAGCTCATCGATGGAATCAAGATAAATAAGGTCCCAGTCAATGCCATCCAGCTGAGGTACTTCCCATTTACTCTGGAGGGGCAGGCCAAGGAATGGCTAGACACTCGACCTCGGGATCTATCACCACGTTCGCCAACCTTGCGGACAAGTTCCTCACCCGCTACCATCCTTCGTCCAAGACGGCGGACCTGCAGAAGAAAATTACCCATTTTGCTCAGGATGAAGACGAGATCATCCGGGATGCTTGGGAGAGATACACCAGTCTCTTCCTCAAGTGTCCCAACCATGGTTTTACTGACGCATTCAAGGTGGGAACCTTCTACCATGCCCTCTTCCCGGAGGACAAACAGCTGATTGATTCGGTCTGTGGAGGGAATATGCTCACCAAAACACCGCCCCAGCTAAATAAACTTTTTGTGGAGATGGAAGAGCAGGGCTATGACTGGGGAACTGCGAGGAGATCGAGACGAGCACTAGGACGGGGTGTGCATGCTGTATCCACCCAATCATCTGATTTGGTGAGGTGGTATCGAAGCTAGTTTCAGCCATCGATCGTTCCGGGATGATTGCAGGTACCGGACAGCAGCAGGCGATGCTCTGCCAGTGGTGTGAGAGTTCTCATCACACGGTGGAGGATTTTCAGGCAATGAGGGAGTCTTCTACTCTCTAGGAGCAGCTGGACTTCATCGGCAATGCCAGGCGCTTCGACTCCTACAACAACACTTATAACGAGGGGTGGCGCCAACATCCCAACTTCTCCTGGGGTGGGGCAAATTCTAGACCACCAGTCCTCCAGGGACCACCTGGCTCCAGAGGCTTCCTTACCAGCCTAGACAAGGGCAATTTCAGCAGCCACAACAGCCTCTCTATCCGCCCAGACAGGGGCCAGTTCCATCTCAGTCACAGGTGCAGCCATTTCATCAGACAGGGGCAGCACCTGCAGCCCCAGTATAGAGTGGCCCGATTGCGGAATTGCGAGATCTGGTGGGTTCTCTGGCCTCCTCTAGTGAAAACAAGTTCAATAACATCGAGCAGTTCATGGAGAAAGCTTCAGGTAAATTCATGGAGCTAGAAGCTGGTTAGAGAAACACGCAGGCTGTGCTGCGGGATATCCAGACCCAGCTTGGGTGTGTTGCTCAGGCTGTAGCTCAGAGGAATCCTAGTACTCTACCCGGTTAGACCATCCCTCATCCACAGGACCCAAATGAGCACTACAAGGCCATCACTACCAGGAGTGGCAAGGTGACTATTGATCCACCTGTTCGGGCAGAAGAGAGAGAGAGACCCCTGTTTCAGCACTTCCTGCTAATGAAGAGGAAATGGAGAAGGAGGTTGAGGTGCCTGCTCCTAAACCGGAACCAATGGTGAAGCAGTATGTACCCCAGCTTCTATTTCCTACTCGGTTGCACAAGGACCGACTGGAGACTGAGTTTTCCAAGTTCATGGAAATGCTGAAGCAGGTGAATATAAGCATGCCCTTCGTGGAGGCATTATCGAAGATTCCCAAGTATGCCAAGTTCATGAAAGATCTCCTCACCAACAAGAGGAAGCTTGGGGAGCTGTCAACGGTGATGCTCAACGAGGATTGTTCTGCCATCCTGCAGAACAAACTACCAGAGAAGCGAAAAGACTCAGGGAGTTTCACTATCCCTTGCATGATTGGTAGTTTGCATATAGGGAAGTCCTTGGCGGATTTAGGCGCTAGCATAAATGTCATGCCATATAAACTGTTTAAAAAGCTAGGCCTAGGTGAACCCAGTGATACTAGGATGAGTATTCAACTTGCTGATAGATCCATTGTGCATCCTAGGGGCATTGCAGAGGACGTGATAGTCGCAGTAGGGCCATTTCTTATCCTGTTGATTTTGTGATTTTGGACATAAATGAGGATGTGGATGTGCCATTGATATTGGGTAGACCTTTTCTCGCCACCGCCAAGGCTCTCATTGATGTGAATGATGGAAAACTGATTTTGCGAGCTGGGGGTGAACAAATCACCTTCTCTGTTTCAGATAATATGAAACACCCCCAGCTCCTTGATGATTTAGACTACTGTGATGTTTATGCTGATTTTGAGACCGCACTCGCCATCATGAGTGCGGGTACTAACGATTTCCTTGAGTGTTGTCTTTTGCTAGGGGAACAGGCATCATAGGATGTGCAGCTGGAGGAGCAGATCGCGGAGCTAGACGAGGTCGCGATCGAGGGGCGAGAGATACCATTCAAGCCGATCCCTATCTCGCCCCAGATCGCTACATCATTGGAGGAGCCACCAGAGCTGGAGCTTAAGCCCCTCCCCTCTCACCTGTAGTATGCATTTCTCCGGGAGGGGAATAAGCTCCCGGTCATTATTAGCTCGGATCTGACACCCGAGCAGAAGAGCAGGCTGGTGGCTCTGCTGCAGAAGTATGCCCGGGCCATGGCATGGAAGATCACAGATATAAGAGGCATTAGCCCATCCTTCTACTCCCACAGAATTCTGATGGAGGATGAGGTTAAGCCAGTCATGCAGCCACAGCGGAGATTGTCTCCTAACTTGGAGGCAGTGGTCCGGGCAGAGATCATGAAGCTTATGGATGCATGGATCATCTTTGCTATATCTGATAGAAAGTGGGTCATCCCCACTCAGGTGGTCCCAAAGAAAGGTGGGATGACTGTGGTCCCGAATGAGAAGAAAGAGCTAATCCCGATGCGGACCGTGATCGGCTGGAGAGTCTGCATCGATTACCGGTGCCTGAACGATGCCACCGAGAAAGACCATTTTCCCCTACTTTCATTGATCAGATGCTGGAGAGGTTGGCTGGCCATGAGTTTTGTTGCTTCCTGGATGGCATGTCTGGTTATTTCTAGATTCCTATTGCACCAGAGGATCAGGCGAAGACCACATTCACTTGCCCCTTCGGTACTTTTGCTTACCGGAGGATTCCGTTCGGGTTGTGTAATGCATTCCTGGATTGCGATTACACTTGGTCGCAGTTTGGTGTTGTGTCGTAGCTTGTCAGCCAGCTGCCGATACAATATATATATAGGTTTTGCCTTTCTCATTTTCCAGCAACGCGGAGAGGCAAACTTACAATATGATCCCTATACTAATGAGAAAGTATAAAAGGATTACAACACCCCCCTCAAGCAAAGGAGTGAATGTCAAGAAGTCCGAGCTTGACGAAGAGATGACGAAACTGATCAACACTCAATCCCTTCGTGAACAAATCCGCTGGCTGGTCTGCAGTAGCAATCTTGTGGGGAGCAATCTCATGAGACTGAACACGTTCACGCACGAAGTGGCAATCCATCTCGACGTGCTTCGTGCGCTCATGTAAAATCGGGTTAGCTGCAATGTGCAGATGCAGAGCAGCTTGATTATCACAAAACAGAGGAGTCGGATCAGATGACGATACCCCAAGATCTTGCAGAAGCCAGCGAATCCAGATTATCTCACTGACCGTGCTAGCCATGGAACGGTACTCAGGTTCAGCTGAAGAACGAGCCACTACAGTCTGCTTCTTCGTGCGCCAAGATACCGGCGAGTGACCAAGCATAATGAAATAACCCGTAGTGGAACGACGAGTCAATGGGAAACCACCCCAATCCGCATCGCAGAAACCGTCAAACGGAGAGGAGCCGACGCAGAAAGGAATATCCCACAACCAGGCGCAGACTTTAGATACCGGAGAACACGAACAACAGCATCCTCATAGGCCATAGTCGGCGTCTGCATAGCCTGACTAAGAAGATTAACAGCATAGGTGATGTCTAGCCTAGTAACAGTGAGATATAAAATACGTCCAGCGAGCCATCGATAAGCACCCGGATCAGCAGCGGGAGGAGAAGGAAGTCGACCCAACTGATGCTGCTGCTCAATAGGTGTAGAACAGGGTCGAGCAGCCTCAAGACCAGCACTAGCAAGAATGTCGTGTACATATTTACGCTGATTGAGGACAAGACCACGACGAGAACGAGCAACTTTAATGCCCAAAAAATACTTTAACTGCCCAAGGTCCTTAATGGTAAATCGATCATTAAGAAAAGCCTTGACACAGCTGATAAAACCCATGTCATTACTAGTAGTAATGACGTCATTCACATAGATAAGAGTGACCACTGAGATGTCACCACGACGATAAGTGAATAGAGCATGGTTGGCACAGCTCTGAACGAAATCAAGCTCAAGGAGTGTTCGAGTAAACTTCTGGTACCAGTTACGAGAAGCTTGTCGCAAACCATAGATAAATTTGTGTAAACAGCACACCCGAGTATCACCGGGAATACCAAAACCTTGAGGAAGGGCCATGTAAACTTCCTCATCGAGATCACCGTGCAGGAAAGCGTTGTTGACATCCAATTGGTGAATATGCCAACCCAGAGTGACAGCAACAATCAATAGGCAGTGAACATTAACTAACTTAGCCACAGGAGCGAAAGTGTCATGGTAGTCAACACCCTCGATCTGAGTAAACCCTTTGGCAAGCAGCCTTGCTTTGTAGCGTTCCACAGAACCATCTGGAAGAAACTTTATTTTAAAAACCCATTTGCACGCAATAGCTTTCTTGTGCAACGACAATTGAACAAGAGACCATGTCCCGTTGGCAATGAGCGCATCGATCTCCCTCTGCATAGCCTCCCTCCAATGCTTGTGACGTACAACTTGGAAAAAGTGAGTGGGTTCCTCTTCGGCTCTCAAAGCAGCAACAAAGGCATGGGGAGCTTGAGACAATCTATCATAGGTGAGATAGTCTTCAAGTGGGAGCTGAACATTAGCCGTGTGAGCTGCTCCTGGAAGCTGGACATCGTAACCACGAAGATGCGTAGAAGGGACCCGTACGCGATCACTACGACAAGGCTCCACAAGATGTACTTGAGGGACGAAAATGGGAGTTCCAAGTGATTCAGATGGAATCGAAGCATCACCTGGTGATGGCGGGACACTGGGCACAGGAGTGGAACTCGCCTTGGGTCGCTGCTGCCGAGAAGTACCGGGAGAAGGGGTTTGCTCCAGTGCTGCCCCATCACGAAGAGGAGATGTGGGTGGAGACATCTGCTCCTGGAAACCAATTTCTGAAGGCTGCACAGGAGGTGCAGTAGTGGTGTCTTGCGAGTAAAATGATGGCAGCAAGTCATCAGGAGCTGTCGAAGCAATTCCAAAAGAAGGCATAGAAACTTGAGCAGGTGTGGGAGACTTTCCATTCTCCATGTCACGATAAGGAAAAATGACTTCGAGGAATTGGACATCCCGTGATGTATAGATAGTATGTGACTCAAGATCATACACACGATACCCACGTTGAGACGATGGATACCCAAGAAAAATGTCTGCGCGCCCACGCGCACCAAATTTGTGTAGGTTCTTGTGATTGTCTTTAGCATAAACCAAGCACCCAAAACTACGAAGATGATCATATTTTGGATCTTTGTCAAAAATCAGTTGAAAAGGGGATCGATTCCCAATAGGAACCAGTGGCATCCGATTGATAAGATAAGTTGCCGTCATGACACATTCGCCCCAAAACTTGAGTGACAAATTTGCATGAAATCGAAGAGCCCGTGCAGTTTGTAGTAAATGTCGATGCTTTCTTTCCACCACTCCATTCTTCTATGGTGTGTGATAGACCATTGATTGCACATGTTTTTTCCCCTATTCTTGAGCCGTTTGAGATGTTGATTCTCGTGTTTTAAGCCGATTTCACGCTAGGTTGTTCTTGTTTGTGATATTTCAGATCCTAGTACGTGAATGAAGGTTTGGGAACGAGTTTGGGGTCGATTGGACGAAGATTGGACGTTTGGCGAGAAGCTGAGGAAGCCACACGGGCACACCTAAAAACCCACATGGCCGTGTGACCTGGCCGTGTGACATCAAATTGCACGGGAAAACTCACACGGGCCGTGAAGGGGACCCCTTGTGGCCGTGTGGAAATTCCAGGAAACTCATACGGGCAGCCTGGGAATCCACACGGCCGTCTGGGTCTGGCCGTGTAGGAAGCCTGAAGTCACTTAACGAAACGCCGCGTTTTGCAAACTCAATGGGCAGCTGGGAAAGCCACACGGCCGTGTGGTCGGGAAATTCTGGGTTTTAACCCAATTCCGAGCCAAAGGAAAGAGAGAGCTGGGTTTTGGATCCCAAACACCCAAGGGACGAACCAAAGAGAGAAAGGGCGATTTGAGGGCATTCTAAGAGTGGAATTGGAGGATTTCTTCGCCTTGGAAGCTCGAGGAACAAGCCCGGACTTGAAGAATGATCATCTAAAGATTCTTACTGCAGTCTCTCTCTTCTCTATGGAGTAACTTCCCTTCACTTAGGTTTGGAGGAGCCCTAGCAATGTTTGTTAGATTGGATGATTGTATGAGTACTCCTACTTGATAATCTTGAGTTCATATTCAATCTCTGCATGTTTTCATGATTCAATTATGCTTTAGTCGAGATTATTGATTTTGCTTTGATCCTATGAGAGAGAATACATGATTAGGTCAATAGAGCACCATAGATTGATAGTATTGGATCGATTGCTTTAGTCGAGGGTCGATTCACTGCTTTGTATCGATTGAGAACCTCTTTTGATAGAGGGAGTCTAGTTAGAACGCCTTGATCGGTTGTTCTAGAGAAGGATACATCCCTCTAGGCAATTGACTCAAGAGGGCCTTGTTCCTTTAGTCGAGACTCAAGGTCTAGTTAAGGATTCTCCGCATTGTGAATGAAAGTGAAACAAGTGAGAGATCATCAATCATTAATATGGCTAGTGGCTAGGGGGAATCATACCTAAGTGAGTTCCCAACCTGTAATTAGATTAACTTTAACTGTAGTTTGCTAGAGTAGTTTTAGTTCTTTCATCTTAATCTGGTTTGCTAGATAATGAACTGAAGCTGAGTAATAGTAACTCTAGAGACCCGTGGATTCGATATTTATTACTTGAGCCACTATACTGCACTCCCTTTCATTGGTTACACTTGGCCTTTGTTAGGAGTTGTGTCATAGCGAGTCAACTTTTTGGTGCCGTTGCCGGGGAATTTCTAGATTATTAGGAAAGGCAGAAGTTTGTTACTTTAGCGTTTTTCTTTTCTTTTCCACCCTTGCTTTTCACTTGGGTGTTTTTGTTTTTGTTGGTGCAGATCTGAATCATGGATCCTCATGGCTTCTCCAACCATTGGGGGTATCCACCCCCATCCGAGTGATATTACCCCAAGACTCCCTGGAGCAATCAAGTAGGAGAAGACTATGGATTCTGGTTCCAGTACCAACCCCCTTACTACGGAGAACAATCAGACCCATGGGCATTTGAAGAACAACCTCATTACCAAGAAGAATTTCTCCCACAACTAGAAGGGCCATCGGCGCTGGAGTTACCCATGGTGGCCTTCACGAGCCATTCTGCAGAGCCATGCTACACTCCACAGCCAGATCCAAACTATGAATTGAGGCTTCTCATGGAGCAGTTTGCTCGAGACAGTGAGAGATCATGGTCCAGGATGGATCTTTGTACCCAAGCCTATCGTGAAACAGAGGAGATCCTCCTGAGCATTAAGAAGAGCGTCGATGATCTTGAGCGATCTTATGCACAACCTGCTCCAGATCACCCTTCTGCTACCATACTAGAAGAGGAGGAGGAAGAAGAAGGCTACAAGGACATTGTGCAGCAAACTGAAGTTGTCACGGAGAGCTCTCGTGATGATAATGATCAGGAATGTCCTGTCGTGGCTGACCACACCTTCCCACATCCCAAACTGAGCTTTGAAGAGGTGGGCATGAGTGAGGAGATGCAAGAAGATCTCATGAAAGAAATTGCTTGGCAACTTGCTCTCCAATCCGTGCTAGAAGAAGAAGAGCGAGAAAGGGTACAAAAGAAGTTGTGGAGGATGACGAAAGTGAAGCAGAAGGAGCTCTTGATCATTTCCCAGGGGTGATACCACATGAAGAAGGAAGGGAGGTTGAAGAATAAATTGGCGTCCAGGCTGAGGACGGAGTTGAGGTGGAAGAGGCATGCACCGGCCATGAGTTACATGTGATATCTCCACCAAACTTCGAGGAACTACTTAGCAAGGACCCATTTGCAGTGTCTCTTTGCCAGACCAAGGCCACGTCGACATCGGTACCTCTTGGTGGACGCGATGGTGGTCAATCGATGCTGTCATATCTAGTTTGGGGCAATGATACGAAAGAAGAGAAGAAGAGGTCTCGAGGGTGGAGACTTCATCTGCATCAAGTGCACGAGCTTCCATCACCTGTCATACCACATGATCGTGACTTGAGACTCCACCTCATCAACGAGAACCTCAACTTCAAAGAGGTTCTGGGGTGGACTGAAACTTAGGAGCCATCGTCCGGCTCACGACATGAAAGAAGCGCTTGTTGGGAGGCAACCCAACCAGTTGGTTTGCATTTCTTTCTCTATTTCTCCTCGGTTGAGTCAGTTTTGTTATTTGATTTTAGAGTCAATAACTCAACCTTTGTGAGATTTTGTGTGGTGTTTGTGTTCTGACTACTCTCTCCTCCTGGAATGCACCGCCTGACCCGTCCATCATCATTCACCCTTGATTTGGTAACTTCGTTCTACCCTCCTTATCTTTCCTCCATTGAGGACAATGTCGTGCTTAAGTGTGGGAGGTGTTCGATTATGTATGTGGGTGAATGTTTGGTTGTTTGTGTGCTTGGAGCCTAACTGTCCAAATTTTAAATTTGAGGGCTCCAAGTACGTGTTTCCTTGCAAATTTCCTGCTCAGTATACTTTGAATTGACAGTCTCTATAGTAATGTGCAACCTAGGGAGGTAGTGTAGCGCTATGGAGGATGTTGAAGTATAAGATTTTTCCTATCTAGCCCTCTGCTGTGCCAGTTGATTTTGTGAATTAGTGGAGCTAGGACCGTTGAATTCATCTGATAATGGTGACTCTATTTGGATTGTGTTATGGACTCGTGTATCAAACAGGGTGCTCATGTGGGAAATGAAAAGCAGTTGGTCCTCCACGTCGAAATCATTGAAATCTTAAACATGGGGTAAGCCCAACGTGTGTGGTGCCGTTCATTGCACAAAATCGGGTTTTCGAGGAGATTTTAGTGATTCTTAGTGGGGTACTCCTACAAGGTGAAGCTAAGCTGTCTCTAGTACAAGTAAAACTTCTACCCGTTGAACAGTTTGCCTACTCGAGGATGTGTTTTTAAGGGCACAGATAGAGCTTCCGACCCCCCTTAATTTTATTGACCCTCCACACGAGTTGAGGAAAAGGAGTTAAAAGAAGTACTCTGGCGAGCGCCAGATGTACAGAAATTACTCTTGCTCGACTAATAAGGGTCGACCGTGCAAAAGACTGCATTGGAACCCCTGCCAAATGAATGAAAAGATAAAAAAGTAAAATGAAAGTGAAAAAGGGGTTCCAACAGTGAAATAAGGGTTCCAACGGTGAAATAAAGTGAAATTGCACCCCAGTACAATGAGTCCTTGATTGTGAATGGTGTGATTCCCTTTATCCATGAACTGACTGTCTTACTTCTACTTCTTCTCATGATCCTGGCTTGAGTCTAGTACTCTCATTGAGAGAGATAGGGGACGTCTTAGAAGACCAGTTGACCTCGTAAGCTGCTTTATGATCTAGGAAATCCTCTACCGATGATCGGGGTTGTTTGTTGCTATAGAGGTCTGGAGAATTGCATTGGTTTGAGTTAGGTTTGCTTGGGGACAAGCAAACGGTTAAGTGTGGGTGATAGGTCAAAAGCGTAATGCTTCAATTCCTATCTCGTAGTAAACCGGAAAGTCTGGGTATCGTCTCTCAGGGACTGGTACAACCTTATAATATATCAATTCTATGAGCAAACTATAAGTGAAAATAGTTGAATGAGAGTAATTTATAAAAGGAAAATAAACTAAACAAATTAAACAAATGAAAACTGTCAAGGGAAATTCAATGGGAGAAAGCTCTGGGAGAAACACCGGAACTCACTACCTATCCTATCCAGATTAATTCACATATTCCAATCAATTTAATCCATATCTCTACAGCCAGGATATCACTACTGTGCTAGCTATCCCTGTCGGGAATTACTACGTACTAGATAATCAATTCAAATCCTACTGTCGTAGCTCAATGAATTAACTATATAGTCTGAAGATCGATAT